GATCCTGGATCTTTTAATGTTGATAACTGATCTATGGCTAATCTCGTCCCTCAAACAAGTTTGGGAATTACATTCAAATGTCTTGTAGTCTGACATGCTTGTTCTTTAATTTACTCTTAGTAGTTCTGAAAGCAATTCTTGTTACCATAGCATCAAAATAAAGTTATTTGGTAACACTTTACATTAAGGTCCAAGAACTAATCATAAACAACACATGTACAGCATTTATTAATCATAATTGAACCTTTACTAATGCATTATTAACATCCAAGACCATGCTTGTTAACATTAGTTAATGCACCGTGAGTTAACATGAACTAACAATGAACTACTGTATTTTCGTTAACTAACATGAATAAATACAGTAGTAAATGTATTGTTCATTGTTTGTTCATGTTAGTAAATGCATTAATTAACTAACGAACCTTATTGTAGTGTGACCAGTTATTTATTAGTTCAACCTGTCAGATATCAGAGCTATAAAAAAAGCAAGCAACCATACGCCCAGGACTTTAAATTAAACTAAATCTCACCTCTCAGATCTCGAACACCGCTAATTGTATGCACTTTCTTAATGCTCTCAGCCACCGTAAAAATCAAACAAAACATAACTTAAAGATTTTATAATAACAAATTTAAAAACTTATTTCAAATTTGTTCAATGTCTTTATGAAAAAATATATAATAATAAAGTCTGCTGCTGGTTTCCCAATGCTCAACCAAAAGGTCTCTTATGGTTTAAGCTCGCAAAACAATTCCCACACTAAGCCAAATATCTAATTCACTTTCACTGACAAAAAAAAAAAAAAAAAAAACCAAAAAACTCTGACGACAACAATGCATAATTTATTTTAGGTTTTGGAAAATAATAAGAGGTACTTACTGTTTCTTATAGCTCCTAAAATGTCTAATATCCTGGCCTGATATCCTTAGTAAGTATAATATTGACAGTACTCCTTACAAATCCCTGTTGTAAGAGCAACAAATAATAACTTAAGTTCTAGTCAAGCAGAAGGTACTTTTTTTTTTTTTTTTGAGGAATCATCTGTGGAACTTCAGTTTGGTGAAGGAAAAATCATGGTTTGCGGTTAGATTCAGTATGGGGGCGTGCGGAGATCTGCAGAGTGGATGACGACAACACCAACAGCTTGAGGTATCAAGACATTTGTGCAGCCCATTCCATTACAAACCACAGGAGAGGGCAAATTCTTCAGCAGGATAGCAAGATCCTTCTCATACTTCAGCCTCCACATCAAAGATCCTGAAAGCAAAGAACGTCAAGGTGCTCCAGGATTGGCCAGCCCAGTCACCAGAGATGAATACTATTGAGCATGTCTTGGGTAATATGGAGGCATTGAACATGAATCCAAAGAATCTTGATGAACTCTGGGAGTCCAACAAGAAAGCTTTCTTTGCCTTTCCAGATGACTTTATTAATAAGTGATTTGAGTCATTGCAGAGATGTATGGATGCAGTTGTCCATACTTGTGGGAGTCATACACAAGATTAACTTTTTCCACTGCACCATAACTTTAAGTTCTATACTGTACACTATTTCTCATAAGTGACAAGTCTTTTGCCCAAGCAAAGTCAGACCTTACTGTCCTATTTCAATCATTAAAAATCAAGGCATGATCATATTTTATTTTGGTCAAATAAGCATAATCTAGAGGCCTTTGCCTTTCATATAAGCCATTTCTGATACCAAATGATCAACCAGAAGTCAAGTTATTATTTGTTGTTCCTAAAACTTGGATAGGCGACAAGACTTTTGTCAGGTAGTGTATTTGACTGTAGTGATTGCCAGTAAATGAGCGTGAAATGAGTAAAATAGCGCTGAAAAATAGTCTAATCATAACAACAGGCGTAAAACAATGTGATACAAAAAAAACTTTTATAAATGGAAACTAAAATACAAAATGACAGACAAAAATTGATATTGCATGACTTGGACCAAAAACATATATAAACACATTTTCAATGTCTGGAATGTTTTAAAATTTCACAATATTCCAGAAATTCCATGACCATTGAATACAATTTGGCCAGAATAATCTGTCTGGGAAGTCTGGGTAAAGTTTGGGAACACACGAAACACTAAAAAGCATAAATCTATACGAACTTTCTATTCCAGGTGTCCAAACTTTAGCTACAACTTTCCTAAACACACCTGCCTGAAGTATGACTAGTAAGAGCTGTATTAGCTGGATCAGGTGTGTTGAATTGAAGACAGAGCTAAGCTGTGTCCCAAATCGCATACTTATGCACTATTCTACGCCATTTGTAGTATAAATAATGTAAGTAGTGTGTTCACACTGAAAACTCTAAAAATAATAAGTGCTCTTAAATTACCCGGATGATGCACTCATTCAGCCGCTAAAATGAAGTGTGTAATGATGGACACTTCACGCACTTAACAACCGCAGGTTTGCTCACGTATCAGAAGGGGCGGAGCTATCGGGCGCACATGTTGGATAACTTTATTTATTTTGGATGGTGAAAGCAAAATTCTCCTACAAGAGTGATTATAGCGCCTCTCGATGGTGAATGCGGCAATACTCACGGCAGGTATTATTTGATAATTCGGTCGTTTATTTCACTGATTTGGCAACCGTCAAACGTCATCAGGGAAACCGTTTGAATTTCCGATTAGTGAAAAAACATTAGTGTGCCATTTGGGACAACACTACACACATATACTATCCTGTTGAGTGTGTAAGTGCATAAGTACAAAGTGCATGAGTGCATAGTGTGCCATTTGGGACGCAGCTCTAGACTTTTTAGGAAAGGGGCCCGACAGGACCGAATTCAGACACAACTTTTCTACTCACACAAAAAAACACACAATACTCAGATAACATAAAATAACTTCAGTTTATTTAAACACTACACAGTCATAAGAATCATAAAATAGAGAAAAAAAATTGACAATTTTACAACTTTACAACTTTGACAACTATACAAATGTATCAAACTCAAAAATTCGGCCATTTTGCCACCATTTTTTCAAAGTTTCTGAAATGGAGTTTCAGAACTTGCTGACAGTCTTTTAATTGATATTTAAGCATCTTCTCGGTCAGTCCAATGTACCTACAAAAGAGTGAAAAAGAAAGAAAACAGCTGCATTTACACTTAAGACGATTCCACACTTGGCTTAACTTGTTTATTTTATTGAAGTGTCCTTCCATTCGGCTTAGGTTACATTTACATTACAGTTTACATCTTTAACCCAAGTTACACTAGCCATTTCCATCCAAAGATGCAAATGAAATTCATGCACAAAACAGAAATATTGCATAAAAGATGTGCAAATAAAGCAGCGTTTCCATCTAATGAGTCAAAAGCAGGTCAAAATCGTCCCTTCCTGATTATTTGGTGGCAAATATCAAAAGTAAAACCGTAATTTGCTGCGGTAGGAGAAACTATCAATATTTTCCTTATTTAATAAATTACTGCCTTAGAAGACAAATAACGACATGCAATGAACGCGTGGTGGTGTTTGAAGGTGAAAGACGTGGAGCACGGACGCTCTTGATTCTGGAGGTCATTAATAATAAAATACCACCAATACTGAAATGGTTATGGCGTCTTAGAATGACCAAAACAATATTTCAGATGTTTTACAATGTGCTCAGCCTGCTGGTTTGTCCATTCACACGCATTTTTAACCTCGCATGATTTTTTTTAAATGCGCATACTGGAATTGGTTATGTAAAAGCATTTCCATCGCAGAATACCATCTTTTCCCATCTTTTCTTATCGAATAAAAAGTTTATCCTACTCAGTTTTGCGCTTATATTTTTGTATATTTATAAAACGTGCATCATTGCGTTTCCATCAACTATTATGGGTTATCAAATGATAGAATACATAGCAAACATTACAAAATTTTAATAATAAAATAAAAGGTTTAGCCTATTAAAATCAATGGCCTATACAGAAATTAAATAAAGCTAGAAAATCTAATTCACTTTTAATTGTATTTGCATTTTGATTAAAGTTACTACAGTTATTTAGTGAAGAGCAGCAAATGAATCTCTCGTGTTTTGTTTGATAACAGAGGTGTCACTAAGAATGCACAGATCTATAATAAAAGCATTCGACTACTTTAGTAACTGTTTGTGCTCATTCAAGAGAAAATTAGTTGTTTAAAATAAAACACGCAGGATGGACATGTTTACATATTTTTAAGTGTATTTGTCCGTTTAAACACACACCTGAATCACCAAAGTATCGTTAACTTTTTTCAATATTCCTGACACATTCAGTGATAGACGGCAAAAACTCAAACACTTCCAAGCCTAAAAAGATCTAAAGTGTGTTTATTACACAAAGACAAAGCTGGTTATGTTTCACAGAGCTCGCGCTGAGTGGAGCAAAAAACAAAAACAAAAAGAGGCACTTTTTTAGACGGTCCCTTACTGAGAGCTCAGCGCAAGCTCTCTCGGCTGAACGCATATTGCGAGCAGTGCTCGTAAAGTCGAGAGAAAAAGAGAAAAAGACAGCTGTGAAACATAACCAGCTTTGACTTTTTGTAGGAAACACACTTTAAATCTTTTTAGGCTAAGAGGTTTTTGAGTTATTGCCATCTATCACTGAATGTGTCAGAAATATCGAAAACAAAACCAACCTAGCCGCGCTCATTTCTGGCGCTCCCCTGAATGTACAGCGCCCTTAGCATTTGCCTATACTGCCTATGCCACGGGCCGGCCCTGGTTACAACCCTACTCCTAACGAGTATTGCCATGGGATTTTAAATGACCACAGAGAGTTTAACGTCTCATCCGAAAGATGGTTGAGTGGAAATAGTATGTTTTCCAGCAAGGCAGTGCTAAAATATAATTGGGTAATCTGGCAGTGGGCTGGTTAGAGAGCAAAACAAAGACAGAACGCAGATTTTCAAAACATAATAACTGACTTTAGCATTGCTTTTCAGATAAACAAATGTTAACTTAGCATAATTGTTAAATATTTTCTCATTTATTTTGGTATTTTCATCATTTAGAAGAGTCAAAAACTAATGAAAAAAACGTTTTTAGGATTTAGGACAGATACAGTAGATTCAGTCTGAGTTACTAATGGTCATTCACAACCAAAGCAAACAAATAAAACTCTCAACACCAAAGCCGACCGCCTTTTATGAAACATTCATGTTTTAACCAGCTGTCTTAAGTTTCTGAATTCCTAGAATTGAAGTTCTGCTAGGTCACACATAGCCAGACACCGTGGCAGAATTTCTTTTGTTTTTAAGTTCGACATTCCTGGAAAACGAGGCTTTGAAGGGAGTAACGAAATATAGGAAATCAGAATGAACCATAAAACTTTCTCCCGCTCCTTTAGAGCTTTGCCAGCAGGAAATAACATTAAATCTCTTACCTTCCAAAAATGCAAATTCGTCTATTGCTTCAATAGCATTGTCTGCCAAAAGAGAACAAAAGCACCAACCATTAGAGCATCAATGCCACTGATGTTCTGAGTTAATCTACTCGACTCTTATAGCACATTTACAATTAGTATTTAATTTTTGCATTATTGGTCAACTTGGACCAAAAGAGTCATTGTCATAGCAAATTTTTCAACAAACACAATATTTTATATTAAGTTTGCCTGCATAAATGTGCAATACATATTTGTTCACTCGCAGGATGGTAACACATGCAACCAACCACACATGCCTTCAGACATATTTTGCCAAAGAAGCAAAATGAAAGAATAATATTGCAGTTTGACACAGACGAGTGGATGTCAAACAAGCACTGAGGCTGATTGCCCCTGTCCTGGATCCGCGTCATAGGTTGCTTTCATTCATTCATTTTCTTGTCGGCTAAAAACTTTAGTTTTTATTTTATGGAAGAAAAAAAAAACATGATTGGAAAAAAAACAGCCTATGCCAGTTCAAAAGGATTCAGTCAGTGTTTTTCGTTTTGCAATCTACATTTGTAATTTAGGTGAAAAATATCTAGGGCAGGACCAGGGCCGGAGTGGGACTCATTTTTAGCCCTGGAGTTTCAAGCCAGACCGGCTCACCTCAAGTCACGACTGACTATATTAAAATAAGGCCATTTCCAATTCAGTTTCTAATGATACTACCACATCTTTTTCAAGAAAACAGCTGCTTTAGAGCTTCAAATGTTCAAAAGCCCTAACAGTATTATATGTCTTAACAATAAAAATGAAAAGAAAAAAACAATTATTTTCCAGGTGAGATTCGAACATGCGTCGGCAGCGTCATACTACAACGTGTTTACCACTGGTCCACAATAGCACTATTTCGGCAGGAATAAAAAATAAGTATTGGACTGTGACCCGCAAGACACGGTATTACTTTCTATTTATGGCTTAATCTTTTTCTCCCCTTTTTAGATTTCTGATCAAGTTATGTCAGATTTTTTAATGTAGTGAATTATCTGATTGTCATTGAGCAGGTGTGATATTCATTAATATTAATTATTCGAATTCGCTGTTTGGGGTCGAATGATGATAGTTAACGTTACATCATCATTACGTTAGTTAACCTGCAGGCTGCATTTTGCTCACGGGGCTGCAAGAAAATAAATAAGAAGAGCGGCGCTGCGGCAAAATAATGAATAAAAAGAGTAAAGCTGTGGTCAAATAAATAAATAGATGAAAAAAAAGTGTGACTGCTGAGAGTGCAAGCAGCTAGGCACACCGGGGCCCTCACGGCCAAAAAACGGACCGGCCCACCGGGAATTCTCCCGGTGCTCCCGAATAGCCAATCCGGGCCTGGGCAGGACTATTAATTTGATTTTTTTCTATGTTGTTGGAAACACTGCAGGTGCATGAAGATGTTCTGTTGTTAATATGTTCTGTATGCTGCTGTTCGCATGTTAAAATAAATCTGTATTTTAAAATGCAATATTTAATGTGTCAGACACAAAATAGACACATCAATTCACTTTTTAAAATAATGATTTAACATTAATCTGACCAGTTAACAAGTGGCGGTTGTCGGTTGACAAAACTAATTCAAATGAGCCTCCCAACAACATATTAAAGTGTCTTTTCAACAAGGTGTTTCCTTGTTTTCCTTTTTATTTATTCTGATCTCATCAATTTTTCTTTGAATTTGAACAGTCTTTGAAACATTTAAGATAATGAAAAGTACAAAACGAGTCAGCAAAATAACACTGTTCTAATGGTTTTTGTATATTTTGTTGAAAAAAAAAAAAACAATCATATATATTGAGCCTTTAATTTGTGTCATTATATGAAGTTCATAAGAGCATTTCATAAGATTTTAATAAGTAGCACAGTATTACAAGAGTGCCGTATTACACGATTTTCCAGTTTTAACCACTTTGCAATAAAAATAAAATCATTAAATTCCTAATATAACTCACAATTTACCCAAAACAGCCAAACAAATTAATTCTACTTGCATGAACTTTCAATTTTAAATGAAAAAGTGATCAATGTTTCATGTTACAATGGCTCATCAACTGTAAGATGGGAGTCCCAAACACGGATGGGAAATGGGGGAAAGGGTAAAACGTTAATTCACAGCCTCATTTCACCTGTAAATACTGTGTACTTATGATTATATAAGCTGGGTAATAAGTACACTCCCTAATCCCACCTCTAAACCTTAAACCATGTAGTGGTTACCTTATATAACCACACATCAAGCACATGTACTGTTAAATCAAGTGCAACTGGGAAAAGACTAAATATACATTACACTATTATGTAGTAGCAGCGGTAGTAGTAGTGAATTTTATTAATCCCTGCGAGGGCAAACTCATTTGCCAACATTAACATCACAATACAATTAATTATTGAATAAATACCACAAAAAAAAAACAGTACATCAACACACAAAACAACAGTACAACACAATTTGCACCAAATACATGTCACAACTCAGCAAGTAATTGAGCAACAAAAAAACAACATAGTGATTACGTTAGAGCTGCATAAATCAAAATTTAGCAGAGGCTGTGATTCTCATGCACATCTTGAAGGAATAGTTCACCCAAAAACGTAAGGTTACTTATTATCAAGAGGTTGGTTGAAGTTAATTTGAAAAATGTTAGAAACCTGTAACTAGGGGTGTTAAAATGAATTGGTTCTTCGGTGCACCGCGATGCAGACGCGGACAATTCAGTATCGGTTCAGTACTAATCATAATGTCATCTATCTCATATGCGCTCTGTCTGGAGGGAGGTGAGCGTGTGTATTTACAACACTCCAAGCGCCAACTACTTAAAAACGCAATAACTGTGCACAATTTCACTGCGTGTGTGTGTTTTCTGGACAGGCTTTCACTGACACTTCCAGCAGAAGCTCAATTTCTTTGAGATTGAGGGAATGAAATGGCCCGTTTCCACTGAGTGGTACGGTACGGTTCGGTTTGGTAAACCGTACCGTACCACTTTTTCGGGACCCTTTCGAAAGGGTCCCAAACACAAGAAAGGGTACCAAAAGGTGGAGCTAGACGCGCAGCCGAACGCTATTGGTTTACAGAAGGGATATGTCAATCACTTACAACAAGCCAGAATGTAAACAAAGGACCCGCCATGTTTGAAATACACAGCGAGAGATTACAGCGGAATTATATATTCATATATCAACGTCCTGATGAACAGCCACACAGCCATGGAGTAGAGCAGAATCTACCCTGCGCCTCGCAGTTTTTTTACGAGCCAGTCTGACGCGCGAGCGGTTTCGCTTTGTTCCTTGCGCTTGCCGCGCGTCTCTATCTGAAATAATAAACTTATTGAGCTGATAATAATAACACGTGCTTGATTATTGACGCGCTTTGGAAACCCGATCCCGTGAGAAGCTGACAAACGCGAGAATGATATATTCAGAAAGAAAAGCACAAACGCAAGAGTGGAGCACGGAAAAAAAACGGAGCACGTTATTTCTTCAGCAAACGTGAACAAACTGCCTTGTTTTAATTATTATCATCACCTTTTGGACTAATATGAACTGGGAATGATGAAATTACTCTCTAACAGAGGCTACATGACATGTGCTGCTGAAGATTGCAGACACAGATGAGAAGTTTTCACTGACTGTAGGCTATACTTTGTGTTGTTACGAACCTAATTAAGAACATAATGTATGATGTGTGTAGTTTTTCTGTAGTTGGTAACATATCGGAGACAGTAAGGGGCTGTATGTGTTCATATATGTTCATTTATTTATTTTATATAATTACAGACGTTACAGTAGGCTATTTTGATATTGATCTGCAGTTATAATCTACTCCTGTTTATAGAAAAGTTAGTAATAAACATTTATACACAAGTATTTATGTGTGTAAAGCATCTGTTTTGTGAGAAGTGCTTTTAATATGATTTGTGAACGACCTGTGCAGCTTTACTGTAGACATTTCCTCAAATGAGAATGATGCGACTGAAACTTTCTGTCTTACACCACGCCCACCAAAAGGGTACCCTTTATAGTGGAAACGCAAGCCTGATAAAGGTGACCCGTACCGACCCGAACCGTATTGTACCAGTCAGTGGAAACAAGGCAAAAGTGAACTCCATTTCTTTCTCTTTCTCTTTCTCTCTCTCTCTCAGTGGCCCATTTCACCATCTGGCGTGACTTTTCCTCCCCTCTCTTTTCCTCTCGGCTGTTACAACAATACTTCTGGGTATAGGCGCGGTAACAAATTTCCGAATAAAGCGCGTGAGCGATCGATAACTCTGGTGTAATTTTAACAGGAGTGGGCAGTCTCGAAATATTGCTTCTGAGCGAGCGAGCAAGCAAGGAAGGAAGCAAACGTGTGTGCGTGCATATTTGTTTGGTGCTGTCTATGTTTGTGTATGTGTGTGAATGAGAGACAGTGTGGTGCTGTGTGTCTATGTGTGTGTTTACACAGACAGCTTGTTATAGCTACCCCCAAAATATAACATCGTCAATGCACCGAGATATCGAAATGAACCGAATCGATGGCATGATAATCGTAACCGAACCTTGAGACCAGTATAGGTTCACACCTCTACCTGTACCTACGGGCTTCCATAGTAAGAAAAACAAATGCTATAAAAGTTGATGGGTAGAGATTTCAAAACATTTGTCAAAATATGTTCTCTTGCGTTCAACATACAAAAGAAACTCAAATTGGTTTGTGAAAAGTAAAGAGAGAGGAAATAACTACAGAATTTTCAGTTTTGGGTGAATTGTCCCTTTAATAGAAAAGCCGCAGATTTGTGATCAGCAGTAATTCTCCTCGGAGAGATTTTCTAACGGAGACATACTCATAAAGGTTTGGAACAACTTGAGGGAGAGTAAACAGTGAGTACATTTTAATTTTTCATTTTAACTATGCCTTTAAGACGGAACTAAAGAAATCTGAAAAAAAAAAAAAAAAAAAAAGTTTAAAACTTGGATTAAAGTCTTTTGGGTCAAAATAGACCTGAATGTGTTGTAAACCAGCTGTAGATTTGACATTATAACTTACCCAAGTCCTTGCGTTGAAGGGTTTTTCTCTTTCCCTGTTGTGCATAAACGAGAGCGTCCTTCGCAATCATTTCAACAAAAAGCTCCTGCGGGCAGAAAAACAATAATGACCATTGTGTTGTTGACCGAGATGTAAATGTCTAAACCAGTGTGGGCTGTTCACAAAAGTCTTGTCCTGGGTGTTGTGAATTCAAGAGCTGGCCCTGATGGTGTTAATGCACAAACAGGCTCATCCAGACTGACAAAATCAACAAATCTGCCTTGGTTTGACCTCGAAAATTCAGAATATGCAGACAGAAGTACTGTTATGACAGATCCATCATATAGAAAACTAATAATGCAATATTTTAATGTCTCTCTGTTCGTCTCTCTTAAGCTGGATTTTTACTTTCACCTGGCGCCGCTGACTGCGCGGGTACCTTGCAAAACGGACATGGCTTTTACACTTGCTGTGTTCGCCGTTGTAGTATTCTTTAAAACTAAGAGGAACTGACTGTAAAATCAGACGGATAAACAGAGAAGTATGAAGTTTCCGGAAATACGTAATATCAATAATATCATTCAATATTTTTTATTATTTTTATTGTTTTTATAAATTATTTGAATGATTGTGAGCATTTTTATAACCATTCAAGACTTTTTTTTAAATCAAACTTTGATGCATCACTTTTGTACATATCTCGGACAGTTTTGCCATTTAAAGTTTATTAAAATATTAATGACAACAGAACATGAGTTGCTCTACAAATATATATTTTTATTATGGCAGAAATAAAAGCCAAAGAAGTACACTTACTAAAAAAACAGGTTTTTTTTAATGTTTTTTATTCAGCCCACTAAATAAAAAACTATAGGAGAATTGATAAGCTAAATTGGCTATAGTGTATATGTGTGTGAATAAGTGTATATACTGTAGATGTTTCCCAGTACTGGGTTGCGGCTGGCAGGGCATCTGCGGTGTGAAACGTTTGTATACAATGATTATTGCTGGAATGAGCTGTGAGGCAAGGGGCACCAGGTAAAATATTGCCTAGGGCAGAAAATCGCCTGTCCTGACATTTTATCCTACCAGTCAGATAACAATGGTTCTATGAGGGCGAGGCTAGGACTTGGGGTAGGTTAAGGCGACATTACAAGCTCGTATTACACCCCTCCACATCAGTATTTATTTATGCTGGTAGGACAACGTGATGGATATGCTAACGTTACCTATCGGTTTATATTTTGATTACACACTATGCTACCTATTTTTTGAATGGAAAAATCTGACAGGATAGGACTTATCGACGGAACACTTGCCAGGCATAAAACAAAAACAGTGTAATCATGACAGACATACAAAACTGGAATAAAACACTTGGGGAGAGGGGTAAACTCAGGCAGCACGTGTACGTGTGTCTCACCGTAGCTTTAGCTATGATGAACACGGACTCTTGACTCGCCAGAGTCACATCCGGATCTGCTTTCATCAGGGTTTTAATGCGGGACAGCGGAAGCCTGGCGAGCCGGTGTTGCTGTGCGCCCGCGGTGGGCCCGGTTTGCCCGCTCCCCGCGTCTTCCTCCGGCTCGGTGCCCCGGGGCTCTTCTTCAGCCCCGCTGCGGTCCAACTCCGATTCCGCGGGAGCTGCAGACGCGGTCGCCGCCATCGACGCACAAAAACTCTCAACCGAACGCGCTGCTGTGAACCGAAAGCAGATAATCTAATCCTCTCCCGCCAAATCTGACTGTAAACACAACCTAGAGGAGGACGGCGGAAACCACGTCACTGCACGACGTCATGCTAGCGGGTCAACTCATTTCACTGAGTAAGGTAAAGTAGCCTGGAATTTGTTTTAACCACTTTGTCATCGCTTGGTATCACGGTAGAGTTAAAAAACGACTACTTGAATGAATGAATGAATATTAGAATACGAGGACAAAAACTGCAAAAACAATATTTAAATAAATACGCAAATATATAAATAAATGAGTAAATAAATCCACAAATTCCTGCATAAATAAGAAATTAAATAAATAAATATGCAAATAATTAAATACATTTATATAAAATCAACAAATTCCTGCATATATATATATATATATATATATATATATATATATATATATATATATATATATATATATATATATATATATATATATATATATATATATATATGTGTGTGTGTGTGTGTATGTGTGTGTGTGTGTGTGTGTGTGTGTGTATATATATATATAGATAGATAGATAGATAGATAGATAGATAGATAGATAGATAGATAGATAGATAGATAGATACATAGATACATAGATAATAGTGCAGGCAGGTAAATAATTAAATTACACTACTGTTGGAGGAATAAGGAAATGCTAAACTGAAAATTTATTTTCAAACGTTTATTCTTTTCTTGAACATAGTTCTGTATTTACTTTTCCTCACACTGTGCTGGCGTCCACACGATTTGTGTTGGGACAAATATATTTTACACAGCGGATGTCCTTGTAGCTGCAACCCAGTACTGGGAAACACCCATACACTCTCACGTTCACACACACACTCATACACTATGGCCAGCTTAGTTCATCAAATTCACCTGCACTGCATGTGTTTGGACAGGGGGGAAAACCGGAGCACCTAGAGGAAACCCACACAAACACATCGGGGAGAATATTCAAACTCCATATAGAGAAATGCCAACAGGCCCCTACTTGAACCAGCAACCTTCTTCGACTCTTATAGACATTGATTTTTTTTAAATAACTTTTATATCAAACAATAATTTTATATTGTACCAAGCAAATGTCCCCATATTGACTGGTATTGCTAAATTTATGGGGACATCCCTACAGTGTACATAATGAGTACAAGGTACACACACACACAAATGCACAAATGTTGGTATTTGTGGTTTACAGGGACTCTCCATATTGATAATGTGTTTTAAACAGTAAAAGAAATGCTTATTATACACACACACACACACACACACACACACACACACACACACACACACACACACACACACACACACACACACAAACACACACACACACACACACAAACACACACACACACACACACACACACACACACACACACACACACACACACACACGCTGATATTGGTCGTTTAGAGGGACTCTCCATATGCGTAATGTATTTAAACAGTAAAAAATGCTTATTACACACACACACACACACACACACACACACACATGTTGGCATTGGTGGTTTACAAGGACTCTCCTTAGGGATAATGTGTTTTAAACTGTAAAAAAAAAGGCCTATTCCACACACACGCACATGTTGGTATTGGTGGTTTACAGGGTCTCTCCATAGGGATAATGTGTTTTAAACAAAAAAAAAAGCTTATTACATACGCAATGATATTGGTGGTTTACAGGACCCTTCATAGGCAAAATGTGTTTTAAACAGTACAATACACGCATATCACACACACACACACACACACACACACACACACACACACACACACACACACACATTGGTGTTGGTGGTTTACAGGGACTCTACATTGGCATAATATGTTTTAAACAGTAAAAAAAACACTTATTACACACACACACATTGGTATTGGTGGTTTACAGGGACTCTCCATAGGCATAATGTGTTTTAAACAGTAAAAAAAAAAACTTATTGCACACACACACACACACACACACACACACACACACACACACACACACACACACACACACACACACACACACACACACACACACACACACACACACACACACACATTGATATTAGTGGTTTACTAGGACTTTTCTTAGGCGTACTGTATTATCTACAGTAAAAAAACGCTTATTACACACACACATTGGTATTGGTGATTGACATTGGTAATTAACTTGGGCCACCAATATGTGAATTTTTCTAAGTAGAACATTGCAGATTTTCAACCTCATACCATGATTCTTCATATCAGTGTCTATCATAATTTTTAGAGTCAAAAACATATATACAGGCAAAACAAAATGAATCCCTTTGACTACTGATGATACATTGAAGTGTAAAGAAGTGAAACAATCAGAAACTGATCTTTATTTACTACATTTAACACACAACAGCATTACTAACTTTAATCCACAGCCTCAGCAGTAGCACTATCTGCTAGTATCACAGTAGTACAGTAGTTACTGAGTGTGCTGTTTGTGAGCAGCATTTGCGCAGCTTCACTGAGGTGTGTTGCAGCTTGATTATTATTACATGCGTCTAATTGGATTGGGTGCTAGTGATCGGTGGAGGATTAAAGGCTGCCGAGTGAGAGACGGTCGCTGCGCTCTTCATTCATACATACAGACAACAGAATGAAGGATCCACAGCTACCAGGTAAAGATTTCTTCAATGAATAGAGTATATTTATATTAAATAAACAGCAACGTGTGTATGTACAATCTTTTATAGCTCTGCTGTTGTAGTAGTTAACCATGTTAGACCTGTTTTATGAGCAGTAGTACACCTGTTTGTATGATTTATGAATAATATAACAACAGGAAAAGAGATATTGAAAGATTCTTTATTGCATTTTAAATGCTGATCCTCGGTTAACTGCATATATGTAGTAGTGCTTGAGATAATACTCATTGTTTCATAGATCTGCAATGTTTTAACATCTTTTATTTCAGCTTTTAATGTACTGATCTGATCTGATACTGTTCTTCTGGTCCAACAAATGCATATTTACTATAGTACAAGACTTAACATGACATTTAATTGAAGTGAAGTCAGTTTAGTGTTGTAGCATTTATTTTTCAAGCCTTGATATTATTCTTAATCGATACTTTAATTGCTTTCATGCTGCTTTTTATTTAGTATTACTGATATTGAAAGTAGTTCAGTGGCTATTCTGTGTATTTTTAGAAGTGTGTCGACTCTGCAACCTGTGATGCATGGTCTTAGAGAGGCTCTTAATCCACCCTGCTTAAAGACTTTCCTATTCAGACTGATCTTGCCTCCAGAGCACACATACTGGACGTTTGAGCTAAAATAGAAAGGACAGACATGGATTAGGATTATAAAAGAACATCTATAGAGATGCGACTCTAAACATGCCACGTGAAACTGGTGAGCAGATCAATTCCGTTTCAAAGGTCAATTAAGTGAGTTAAGATTTTTTTGACGGGTTTCAAAGGTTTATACTGTAATTATTTTGTTTTTAACATTTAACATCTCATACATCTAGATTTGATATTTGAATAGGTCAATTAGGGTCTACTGTTGACCTAAGTATCCTTTAAGCAGCAGAAAAAGAAAAATCTTAGAGCTATTTTTATGAGTGTGTATGGATGTTTCCCAGTTCTGGGTTGCAGCTGGAAAGATATCCGCTTTTTAAAACATATGCTGGGATAAGTTGGCGGTTCATTCCACTGTGGTGACCCCTGATGAACTAAGCCAAAGAAAAAGGAATCAACTCTTTTTAAGGCTTTTTAAAGATTTCTCATAGACATAAGTGATTTTTATAATTTTCAAACTGTATATTTTATACCTCTAAACCAATCTTTTTTTTAATGATTTACGAATCGTTTTCTCTATGTGGACCAAGCAAATGTCTCTGTAAGGTCAATTTATTGGTATTGCTAAACGTGTGGGGGCATTTGGTCCCCACAATGTGAAGGAATACAATGTACACACACACATTGGTATTGGTGGTTTACAGGGACTCTCTATAGACGTGATATACACTCACCGGCCACTTTATTAGGTACCCCTTATTATTTCCGGGTTAAACCCACTTTTGCCTTCAGAGCTGCCTTAAACCTTCGTGGCATAGGTACAACAAGGCACTGGAAATGCTCCTCAGAGATTTTGATCCAAATTGACAGGATAGCATCACGCACTTGCTGTAGATTTGTTGGCTGCACATCCATGATGCAAATCTCCCGTTCCACCACATCCCAAAGGTGCTCTACTGGACTGAGGTCGCACGCATACTGAAGATCGGGGTTGTTGCTCGCGTTCTGATCAGCGGTGTTGTCGAGTGCCTACTGAAGGGCGGTATGTGTCGCGGGGGCACTTTTGATCATTTTGGAAGGGCACTTTTTATCCAAGACTAAAAAGGGCATGTGCACTGCACAGGTTGAGCCCTATGTGTGCACGTGCCTGAATGGGCCCAAAGTGTGCGAAGAGCCCAAGTGCCGCCACCCCATTACACCACCATCACCAGCCTGAACTGTTGATACAACGCGTTGTTGATGCTAAATTCTGATTTTACCATCCGAATATGGCAACAGGATTTGAGACTCATCAGACCAGGCAACGTTTTTCTAATCTTCTATTGTCCAATTTTGGTGAGCCTGTGCGAATTGTAGCTTCAGTTTCCTGTTCTTAGCTTAAAGGAGTGGCATCCGGTGATTTTTTTTCAGAGATTTTTCAGACCGTTCTCTGTAAACCCTAGAGATGGTTGTGCATGAAAATTCCAGTAGATCAGCAGTTTCTGAAATACTCAGACCAGCCCGTCTGTCACCAACAACCATGCCACGGTCACTTAAATCACCTTTCTTCCCCATTCTGATGGTCGATTTGATCTGCAGCAGATCGTCTTACATGCCTAAATGCATTGAGTTGCTGCCATGTGATTGGCTGATTAGAAATTTGTATTAACAAGCAGTTAGACACGTGTACTTAATAAAGTGGCCGGTGAGTGTATTTCAAAAAGTAAAAAACACTTATTACACACACACACATTGGTATTGGTGATTTACACCGACTAGGCGTATTTATTATAATTTCTGTCTTGCTTTTGCATTATAAAATTTGATATACTTTAGTTTAAAAATTTAATATTGCGATTTAATATTGATATTAATATTGATTAAACACATACAGAAATTGTGATGAATGATAAAGTTATATCTCCATGCAATTTCTTCATCCAGTAGTTCTGAGGATTGAAATAAATAAAAAAATTGTGCTTTATTTTAGAAGTTTAGTGAAGGCGGGTCATTTTAGGACAAACAGAATGTAGAATTCTATAACCCCACAAGGGTTTAAGTACATTTGAACAAATAATAAATAACAAAACAAGGGTGATGAATTGCCTGACCTAATAAGGACTTTTGCACGGCATGAACTCGATGTTCGATCCTCCAGACTATTACGAGCAGAGACACTAGTGTCATGATCCCGGTTCACCCTGTCTTTGAAAGATTAAGCCTCTGTAAACCTGTAAATGTTCAACGTAGAAGGTCACTGAGAGGAAGTGTTCCAGTCTTACTGACACGGCCATCGCTTTTGCACTAGATTTACATTTCCCTTGACATTACAAACCTTGTGATTTAAAGGCATGTACTGTATCAAGGCAGTAAAGTTTTTTATACAATTATAAACACAAGTTATATATACAATTTATACAAAACTGTAATGTTGGGTGAGAATATACAGTACTGTGCAAAAGTGCAATATTTTATTGTGTCTATCATTCCTACTAGGAAGCACCTAATTGTGCGTGTGAATACTTAAGAGGTCTATCAGTGCTCTAGAACTGCCAGTTTCAGACTGTTGAATGATATTTTTCCCAGCATTGATTGGCGTGATTCACAATGGTATGAACTGTTATAGGGGGTCAAATGTATATTTGTACTATAAATTTTTAATTATTAATATTTAAGATATAGATCAGAGATCAGAGAAAGGTATTTTTTAAAGGGCTAACCCCCATAAATCTAGTTTTGATGTCCTTCAGGGGGATCAAGTGTTAATTAGGGTGGTCAAACCCCCCTGTGATTCCCCTCTGGAGGTGAATGGGTTTGCTAATGATAGATTTATGCACATTTAGATGTTTCAAAACAAAAGCCACTATCTATGAACACCATTATTCAACACAAAAGAGCGAGGATCAAATGTAAAACTTTACTTTACTTTTTTTTACAGTGTTTGTCTGATATAAGAAGGTCATATATATATATATATATATATATATATATATATATATATATATATATATATATATATATATATATATATATATATATATATATATATATATATACAGTATATATATCCCAGGGACTACAGATGTAAATTAGCTTTATAGCTAACTCTGGCACAACATGTCATGTTGTACATTGTCCCTGTTTAAATAAAAAAAAAAAAAAAAAAAAAAAATATGTATATATATATATATATATATATATATATATATATATATATATATATATATATATATATATATCAGAGAATGGTGAATTATGGGGTAATTGTGATTTTTGGCCGAACTATTCTTTTAATTCATTAGAATGTTTTTGTAATGCATGTTATTTTTCATTATCAATTTTCAGTTTCCATACACTCTAAAAATATTGTTTAAACAAAACAAACAAACAAAAAAATTAACGCAACAGTTTGCATTAATATATTCAAGTTACAACAACATCTAACAAAATGAGGTTCAGACTACAAGCTTTATATGTTAGCCAAATTTTTTCCTCTTCACTAAGAGGCATTTTTACATAGCAAAAAAATCTAATTTTAAAGTCGAGTACTCAAAAAAATAAGTTGTTTCAATTTGTTTTTTAAATTAAAATTGAAAACAAATCCAGTGTTATGTATGTAACTGCATTTTTTCAAGTTTAGAACCTCAAATAAATTAAGTAGCTGAAATTGTAAATTTTTTGTTTGGTTTTAAATGTACTGTTCAAATTTTTGTTTTCTGGTAATTTTTTATTTGTATTAAACCACAGGTTTTCATTGGTTTACAAAACAAAAAAATGAGCTGTTCCATATTATCAGTATAAAAAATAACAAAAAACATCAGTGTGTGGACATAAAAAAAAAAAAAAACATCATTAGTGTGGAAAAATTGAGTTATCAACCCAATTTCTTTGGGTTGCTACAAGTTAAATATTGTTTTAAAGTAACTAACAGATATATTTGCCTTTAAATTAGCCACATTTTTTAATTGTTGTAATTATTAATAATTTTCTGTTTCGAAAACTTAATAAAATTATTCTGGTAACTTAAAAGTTTTAATTTAATAAGCATTTTAGAATTTTTAAGTTACAATAATGTGTTAAACTGTGTAGTGGTAACAGCCTTCTTGAGTTTTTATTTAGAGTGACCCAAAAACAGTGTTCACCACTGTTATTACATACATTTTTATTAACAGAAGTAATTTGACTTCACTGGTAATTTCCTTTTTTTTTTTGTCTTATCCAAGGTACCAAAACACTAAATATCTGGGCAAAGCGGCACGCAAAGAAAGGAAAGAATGAGGCAGCAGCACAACCCGTTCAGAAAGAGGCAGAAGCACGAAAGCCTCCGGTTCTCACACCCGAACAACGAGCAAAGCAGACAGCCTTCGAGAGGGTCCTCTATGACATGTCCCACAACGACCGGGTCATCAATGACATCATTCTGGGCCGCAGGATAGGTTTCTACGATCTCAGAGGAGAAATAGGGACTGGAAATTTCTCCCAGGTCAAACTTGCTGTTCATGAGTTGACCAAAGGTAAGAAAATCAGAAGTCAGTTTCAGTGAGTTAATAATGTATTTTAACAGTCGTGCCACAATGTCTGAATGGAAATATTATAAATGCAATAAAACCTGTGAAAGTTCTCACTTCTCAGCAAACTAATTGTTTTAAAAGATGTTTTGGAAAATTTAAATGACACATTGTCAATTTCATTCCAATTACAGTTAATCATATAGGATTTAGAAAATGTAATTGTTTAATGCAGTGATGATTTAGTAAAAAATTTAAATTAAAAATTTAAATAAAAAGGTAGCTATAAAGTACACTCTATTATCATAATCATGAATGGGATGTAAGCTAATTTTATGATAAAACATTTATTATTAACCATATTAGCCACTAATCTGCGAATGACTTGTCTATGCACATATATATACAGTTGAAGTCAGAATTATTAGCGCCCCTGTTTATTTTTTTCCCTAATTTCTGTTTCATGGAGGGAAGATTGTTTTAGCACATTTCTGAGCATAATAGTTTAAAAAACTTATTTCTAATAACGGATTTATTTTATCTTTGCCATGATGACTGTAAATAATATTTGACTTGATATTTTTCAAGACACTTCTATACAGCTTAAAGTGACATTTAAAGGCTTAACTAGGTTAATTAGGTTAACCTGGCAGGTTAGGGTAATCGGGCAAGTTATAGTATAACGACGGTCAGCTCTGTAGACTATCAAAAACAAAAATTAGCTTAAAGGGGCTAATAATTTTGTCCCAAAAATGTTTTTAAAAAAAGTAATAACTGCTTTTATTCTAGCTGAAATAAAACAAATAAGACTTTCTCCAGAAGAAAAAATATTATCAGACATACTGTGAAAACATAATTTGGGAAATATTTAAAAAAGAAAATAAAAATCAAAAAGGGGCTAATAATTCTCACTTCAACTATATATATATATATATATATATATATATATATATATATATATATATATATATATATATAATTTATTTATTTATTTTTAATGGAGAATTTTACACTTTGTCATACTTATCTAAAGAAATAAGATCCTCATATCCTTCAGTTTGGTTGTGTTTATAGCTGTGTTCAGTCAGTTCGCAGCCCCAGACAGCAGGCGGCACACTTTAACAGGGTCTGTTCGTGTTGGTGGCCACGAGTTGATCCGCGCATGTAATCTCCTCAGCTTTACAGGACCCCCTCTGTGAATCACTCGAATGTTTTTGGTGCCTAAGTTGAAATGCTTGTTAAAGAAACAGCCCTGCGGGGAGACCTCGCAAGCATTTTACCACATATTTTAAAAAGACCTTTAATAAGACTATAAAGCCTGAAATATGAAACAATACGCAGAAATATCTATTAAAAATGAGACGGCTTGTTTATAAAAGTTGCATGTGCGCCTTTTGTCAAGTATTGTTTTCAGTACACTGTAAAAAACGATGGGTTCCACACTATCGATTTGTGCTAAGACAACATAAAGAAATTAAGTTAACTTATTAGTTTTTACAAATGTAAGTGGATTGAATATAAAACAATTAAGTTGTTCTCAAAAAACCTCAAGAATTGTGTTGTTTCAGCTCATTTTATATAAGTAGTTTAAACAAACAGCAAAGTACATGTTTTTGAGTATATAGACTATTTTGAAGAATGTAAACACGAGAAAACTTAAGTATTTTACGTTTTGCTAAATCGTACGAATTCGTACGAGTTCAGTCCTAAGAGATTGTACGATTTTAAAAAGGAGGCGTGGCACCTAACCCCACCCCTAAACCCAACCGTCATTGGGGGATGAGCAAATCGTACTAAAATGTACGAATTAGATCGTACGAATTCGTACGAATTAGCCACTAAATGAAAAAGTTACGAATTGCCGTGAGATTGTGTTGAAACAATACCAACGGTCCTATATTTGCTGTTTTATATTTATTTTCTATAGCTTCTGAGAATCCAAAAATGTCCACATATTGATCAATAATGTTATGAGAGCTGTTTTAATATTAAGTTATGATTGAATTGCCTCCTCTTACAGTTATGAAATAGTTTGATAACAAGCAAGAAATGTTCATGGGTCAATGACATGACCACATTGAAATGGTCTATACAAAATATTTAATGACAGGAGAATTTGGTCACACTTTACAAGGTTTCATACATTGATTAATGTTTTTTTTCTGAGAGGAAAGAATAAACAACACTTGTGCAGCACTTATTAATCATAGTTCAGCATTTACTAACATATTATTAAAATCCTAAGTTGTGCTTTTTAACATTAGTTAATGCTCTGAGTTATGAACTAACAATGAATGACTTTATTTTCATTAACTAATTAACAAATGTTAATAAATACTGTAGTAAATGTATTGTTCATGTTAAATACAATAACTAACATTAACTAACAAAAACCTGTGAAGAATCTATCGGAGGATCTGAGAATCCTTGTTGCAAACTTACGTGTGTTGTTTCGAGAAAACAACTATTTATTTGTGTTGTTTTATTTTCATTTGTTTATACTAATTTAGTCTTAATTTAATTATTTTATTTAATCATATGATCATTAGTCATTTATATAATTATCATAATAACATTTTATTGATTATTAGTTAATGATTTAATTACTATTGATTATTATTTGTCATTTTATTATGTTTTTATATTTTATTATTACCTTTTTCCTATAATTATTTCATTATTTTTTCCTGTTGTTATAAACTTATGACTGATAAGAGAATATCTTCATTTCAAGGTCTGTATTGTCTCTGAACAATGTTGTGAAGTGGTAATTTTCCATTGCTGTTGCTTTTGATCTAATAACACTTGTTGGATTAATCCAAAGTCTCAGCATTTAATCATACGCAACTAAGATTATTCCATAACCTTTTAAGGCATGAGGTGTTTTTTAAATGCAATTTTTATTTCTCTTTGCTATTTGGGCTTATCAGAACCTAATTAGAATAAAAATCTAAGTATTAACTTGTGATATGATGTACTTTTAGAGAAAAATGATGTCCATATGTAGACTCGTGGTCCGAATTTACATAAAACACCTTTTCCTGAATGTTTTTTTTAATTCGTATACAACATAGCCATTTTTTAAAACTTGCTTTGAGTGTCAGAGAGTGAAAACAAAATTTTTTCCCATTTTAGACAGTTAAAAATAGGGTTTGGGACATTTAATATGCTGCAAAACAATTACAGAATGACACTGTATGTCTGTAACAAAATGTAAAACATTCAAAGTATTTTAAACAACCCTAAACATGCCCTAGGAGGATAAATTCTGCTCATTCTTTATCATCATTACTCTGTCTCCTGCATCTGCCCCTCTCTTTAGTCAACTCCTATTGATAGGAGACTGTTATTCAAGTAAATACTGGTTAACAGGTTTAGGTATTGGGCAGCTCCGCTGACTTTTTGTCTGTGTAACCAGAGAAACAGACAATTTCTGACAGGATCTGGCGTCCGGGGCTACAGATCTTATTTATCTGGCGTAGAGAGTGTGATCTAACACTTGCATTGAAAATTGGTACAAAGAATTTACACTCAAGGTCAAGGAGGATGCATCGTATTTGAAGATTATTTTACCTAATCATGTTTGGACAATCAAGTAAACCCAGCTTACTTTGTGTTCATCTTGAAATATTACTAACAATAAGTTATTCTTGCACTTACGTTGTAAAAGAATTGTTGCTGCCTAAAATTTTTGAGTGGAATCAACTTAACTTTTCTAGTCATCTCAACTTACATCAATTAAAATGACTGAAATATCATTAGACTCTGCAGAACTTGTAGTTAAGACCTGTTAAAATAAGTTAAATCAACATAAAATATTTGTTGTCTTGACTTTTTGTCCTATACATTTTAAATCAACATAATGCAGAATGCAGCAGCACGAGTGGTCTATAATGAACCTAAAAGAGCACATGTCACTCCGCTGCTAGTCCGTTTGCACTGGCTGCCAGTTGCTGCTCGCATCAAATTCAAAGCTCTGATGTTTGCCTACAAAGTGACTTCTGGCCTTGCTCCTTCTTATCTGCTCTCACTTCTGCAGATCTATGTGCCCTCCAGAAACTTGCGTTCTGTGAATGAACGTCGCCTCGTGGTTCAGTCCCAAAGAGGGAAGAAATCACTTTCGCGAACGCTTACGCTCAATCTGCCCAGTTGGTGGAATGAACTCCCTAACTGCATCAGAACAGCAGAGTCACTCGCTACTTTCAAGAAACGACTAAAAACTCAACTATTTAGTCTCCACTAAACTTCCTAATCTGCAATTGCCTCTCTGAATATCACACTAACTGTACCCAAAAAAAAAAAAAAAACTAATACTACTAATACTTCCCTTCTTAGACTTTACAGACCTGAAACTTGCCTATAGCACTTATTCATTGTTGCTCTTAGTTGTGTAAATTGCTTCCTTGTCCTCATTTGTAAGTCGCTTTGGATAAAAGCGTCTGCTAAATGACTAAATGTAAATGTAAATGATTAGTTACTAAAAACGAATGAAGCCACTGCCTTAAAAGAAACAAGTTGACTTTACTTAAAAATAAAGTAAGGGTAACACTTTAGGTCACAATCCACGGTATTAACAAACCATAAACTAACACTACTAGCTTAATATACTAGTAATTAGCTGGTTATTAATAGTTAGTAAGGCGGAAGTTTGCTTTAGGTTTTGGGTAGGATTAAGGATGCAGAATTGGGGTCATGCTTTATAAATAATGAACAGTTAATAACTTAATAATAGGCAGGTAAAAAAGTGTTGCATGCAGAACTGTTGCAAACTATTTATTTGTGCTAAGTTTAAACAAACAAATTTAATTTGATAATGTTCAACTTAATTTGTTTGGTTAAATTCAGCCCAAATAAATTGTTTACATCCACTTAACTTAAAAAAATTGAGTAAATTCAAGGAATCATCTTTGAATCATTTTTTTGAGTGATAATAGTTTGAATTGTGCCAATACTGATCGCTCTCGCAAAACAAATATGAACAACCACCAGGTTACAGCATATCAATTCTCAGATTCTACAACCTGACCAGGGCTGATTCAGCATGTTTAGTTGGTAAAAACACCTCTGACAGACCTCAACAGGGGTCATACACTCACACACATTTTCAGTGACTGGCAGTACATTGTGAAATGTACATAAAAAAAGAAAATACTGGGAAAATCACCTTTAAGTTTGTCTAAATTGAGTGCTTAGCAATGCACATTACTAATCCAAATTTAGTTCTGATATATTTATTGAAGGAAATCCACAAAATCTCTTCATGGCAGATAATATTTACTTGATATAATATAGATTTTTCATTCGGAAAACAAATAGACCCATAAGCTGTTTGTTTCGCTCACAATCTATCTCAAATTATACAAAATAAGTCTATACTAAAAAGTCAGACATTACCAATCAGACATCAGAAGGCATGTACTGTTGAAGACTAATGTGTTGATCATGATGATATAAATTAGAGGCCTCAGGCTACATATATATCAAACATGATACAGTATAGCCTGCACTCACATACTTAAACAAATAGTTCAACACGGCATGAACATTCTGTCAGTGTTTAAACAACCTCAAGTCATTACGAACCCAATTACTTTGAGATTTTTAATACATCTTCATTGAATGTATATATGCCGAAGCTGTTTAGTGATTGAGTGCTTTATCGTTCACTGTAAAAACAATTCTGCATTTTGTGTGTGAGTTTTCCGATTATTTACAGTTGTGAATTGCATTATGGGATGTTTATCTCTGACTTTTGATGTGTGAAATTAAACTCTACAGTTTAACAAAGTGACTTTTATTGATGTTGAAGTAGTTTGGCATAATGTAATGTATAAGAAGTAATATATGGACGAATAAGTCTGTAAAATAATAGAAAATACACAGGCAGTTTATTACAAGGTTTTTGCAGGGCAATATATAACACGAACACAGTCAATAAATCACTTTAAACTATTAGAAATGTTAATAAAAGTCACTTATTTTGAACTTCTTAAGTTTAAAAGTTGTTGGAAGAAAGACTAAGGTCTCACAATCCAATTCAAAAGCATAAATAAATGCAGAAAACTGCTGATTTACAAATTTTAAAACTGTATTTTGATGAGACCTAATCAGGTAATGTCATATACATATTTAAATAAGGATTTTATTCAAACATACATTTTGATCAACAACAATATTTAGAACAGAAAGCTCACAATCTCTTTGTCTCTCACACAGAGCGTGTTGCAGTCAAAATTCTTAACAAGGCACGTCTCGACAAGAAGTCGCAGAATTTATTTGCCTCAGAGATCATGTGTATGGAAAAACTCTCCCATCCAAACATCGTTCGTCTGTATGAAGTGCTTGAGACGGGTAAGCATGTGTACCTCGCTATGGAGTACGGCAGCGGAGGCGATCTGTTCTCACGCATCACCACCAGAGGACGCCTGTCAGACCTGGAGAGCAAACTCATCTTTGCCCAGATCGTCTCAGCCATTAAATACATGGTAAGAACATCAGGGCCTCGTCCTTCTCTGACTTGCCAATGTTTCCGCTTTTCATTAATGCTGCCTGTAAAGACAAGTTAGGAATTTGAACAAAGCCCTAATCTGAAATGTTATAGGGATAGTTCAACTATAAAAATTACAGTACTCTTGTTACAAGCTTGTCTGAGTTTCTTTCTTGTGTTGAAGGTGTTTGAAAATCATCCCCGCACGTGTGTGTTACTGCAGACACAAATGACAGTTCAAATTATGGGTTCAGTTCAGTTTGAATATTTCTGTGACACTAATTCTATATTACACAATGACAATATAATTTGTAAGAGGCAGATCTAGTTTTTTTTAAACCATTATTGGCCAGGGGCAAATGAAGATTATTTAAACAAAATCTTTTTTTCATTTTTTATTTTACTGATCAAATTTTAAAGACATTAGTATTTAATGCAGCATGTTTGCATTTACTTGATCAAAAGTGACACTATACAGGTATTTACTGCACAACTGTTTTTAACATGCATAGCAATTGTTCTTGAGCACCTAATGAGCTTAATAAAATGTTGAAAATTAAAAATCATGAAGGATCAAGTGACACTGTAGACTGCGGTAATTATTCGGGAAATTCAGATTTGGTTTTACAGGAATACTTCACTTTTATCATATATCTATCAACCAACCCATCAACTAATCAACCAACAAGCCAACCTACAATCAATCAGTCAGTCAGTCAATCAATCAATCAACAAACTTACCAACCAACTAATCAACCTACAAGCCAATCAATCAATCAATCAATCAATCAATCAATCAATCAATCAATCAATCAATCAATCAATCAATCAATCAATCAATCAATCAATCAATCAATCAATCAATCAATCAATCAATCAATCAACCAATCAATCAATCAATCAACCAAAAAATCTAATAATCAACCATAAACTAACCAACCAACTTATTAATCAACCGATTAACAAACAAACCTACCAACCAACTAATCAACCTACAAGCCAATCAATCAATCAATTAGTCAGTCAGTCAGTCAGTCAGTCAACCAATGCACCAACCAACCAACCAGTCAGTCAGTCAGTCAGTCAGTCAGTCAGTCAGTCAGTCAGTCAGTCAGTCAGTTAGTCAGTCAACCAACCAACCAGTCAGTCAGCCAGTCAGTCAACCAACCAGTCAGTCAGTCAGTCAGTCAACCAACCAACCAACCAACCAGTCAGTCAGTCAACTAACCAACCAGTCAGTCAGTCAGTCAACTAACCAACCAGTCAGTCAGTCAACCAACCAACCAACCAACCAACCAAGCAGTCAGTCAGTCAGTCAGTCAGTCAGTCAGTCAGTCATTCAACTAACCAACCAACCAACCAACCAACCAATCAATCAATCAATCAATCAATCAATTAATCAATCAATCAATCAATCAATCAATCAATCAATCAATCAATTAACCAGCAAACCTACTAACCAACTCATCAACCTATCAATCAATCAATCAATCAATCAATCAATCAATCAATCAATCAATCAATCAATCAATCAATCAATCAATCAATCAATCAATCAATCAATCAACTTATTAAAGAGAATTTGTTAATCAAGGTTATTTTTTAACAGAGAGTGTACTGGTAATTTTCTGTCAGGATATGATCTCTTTTTTGATGGACTCTTTACAGTGTGCTACAATATACACATTTTCACATCATATTTTATTTACTACACATTGTAATCGAGTCTAACTTGTTTATGTCATCCTGTGTTTTCAGCATGAAATCAACATCATCCACCGTGACCTGAAAGCCGAAAATATTTTTTACACCACATGCTACTGCATCAAAGTGGGCGACTTTGGTTTTAGTGTGTTTAGTGAGCCCGGCGAAACTCTCACCACGTTTTGTGGTTCCCCTCCATATGCAGCTCCCGAGCTGTTCAGGGACAAGAGCTACATGGGCCGTTATGTGGACGTCTGGGCGCTGGGCGTCCTCCTCTACTTCATGGTAACCGCCACCATGCCTTTCTTCGCTGACAACTTAGGCCGACTGAAGCGCTGCATCCTGCAGGGGGCATACAGCATCCCGTCCTATGTCCCGGACTCCTGCCAGCTGGCCATCAAGGGGATGCTGAGACCTGTACCTGTGGACCGCAGCACACTGTCACAGCTGATGATCTGCTCCTGGATGCAGTGCATCGAATACCCCAAACCTTACCCCACATTCAGCGGGACACCCGGCTATCTGGCTGACCCTGCCAAGAGCCTGTGTGTGGAGGAGCAGGAGGTAAAGTCAGCTCTAAGCGAGCTGGGTTTAAGCGGGACACATCTGCAGAATAACACCTGCACTGACTGCCGCAGCCCGATCACAGGAGCCTACCGTATCCTGCTGCACCGCATCCAGAAGAGGAGATCCGTGGAGGCAGTGGGATATTCAGGTCTCTACCCAGAGGATTTCAGTAGCAAGAAATACTGGGCCAACAGCCCGACGGCAAAACACAATCCTTCCGCAGTGTGTAATGTCCTGTGAAGACCTTATTTTGAAACGGATTATGTGAATGAGGCCACATTACAGGAACTGGTGAATTGAAATTCATGCAATTATTTCCAGTTTAAGGGTTAGTTCAACCAAAATTTACATTTCTGTAATTAATTACTCTCCATCTTGTCGTTTTCATCCAATGAGACCTTTATTTAACTTCAAAACACAAATTAAAATATTTTGAATGAAATCAGAGAGCTCCATCATCCTCCGTAGATAACAATGGTTCTGATATATTCAATCAAGACAAGGAACCAAAAACATTCCATGCGACTTCAGTGGTTTAAATGTGATAATATGAACCTTTAAAAACACTTTTGTGTGCCAAAAAACTCTGAAAATAAGTCACATGGAATGTTTTGATAATGTTTTTGTTTCATTTCCTGGACTCTGATAGTCTCTTGACTGTTTCTGACTGTAGAGAGTTCTCGAATTTCATCTAAAATATCTTAATGAAGGTCTCAGGGGGTTGGAATGACAAGAGCGAGTAATTAATAACAGAATTGTAATGTTTTTTGCAGGAACTAACACTTTAATCCCATGTTCACCATCGAGGAATGATCACAAGATCAGTCTCTTACATTAGGTACTGTTTTTTTAATATATCAATTTAAAAGCTGACCTTTATCAGTGTTTTAAATGTGATTTCAAAGCAATGTCAGATGATTACAAGTCTCTTTTTATCAAATCAACAACATACAGAAAAAACAACACGTTTAGACCTGTGCAGCCAGATTCACAAAAGAAATGCAACAGTAAACATCAAAAACACATGGCCCCTGATTGCGAAAATAAATGAATTATGAGTGAATCTATCTATCTATCTATCTATCTATCTATCTATCTATCTATCTATCTATCTATCTATCTATCTATCTATCTATCTATCTATCTATCTATCTATCTATCTATCTATCTATCTATCTATCTATCCTACCAGACAACTTATCAACCTACCTACCAACCAACAAACCAATTAATCAATTTACCAATTAACCAACCAGCCTACCAGCTTATCAATCAATCAATCAATCAATCAATCAATCAATCAATCAATCAATCAATCAATCAATCAATCAATCAATCAATCAATCAATCAATCAACCCATCCGATCCATCCATCAACCTACCAGCCAACTAATCAATCAATCAATCAATCAATCAATCAATCAATCAATCAATCAATCAATCAATCAATCAATCAATCAATCAATCAATCAATCAACAAGCCAACCAATCAACCAACCAATCAATCAATAAATCAATCAAATCGATCCAATCAATCAATCAATCAATCAATCAATCAATCAATCGACTAACAAACCTACCAACCAACTAATCAACCATTGAATCAAACTCCCAAACAACCAATTAACCACCTAAGTAACCTACCAAACAATCAACCAATCAATCATTGAACCAACAAACCTAACCAACCAACTAATTAACCTACCAACCATCCAACTAATCAATCATCTAATCAACCTACTAACCATCCAACTAATCAACCATCTAATCAACCTACCAAACAATTAACCAATCAACCAATGAACCAACAAACCAACCAACTAATCAACTAATCAACCAACCAATCAATTAATCAATTAATTATGAGCGAATCAAAAGCATACAGTGTGACAGGTGTAGAATGACTCTTTTGAGCAGGTTGTTTTTAATGACGCACACGCATACCGCATGACTAGAGTAGCCCGACTTGCAAAATAAATGACTATATTTTTAGAGAATCAATGTGAAACGCCGCCAGTAGTTGCTCAAGATATTCATAGAAACCACACCACCATTGTAGCCCATTTTTTAAAATGAATGATTAGCTAAAAACTGAAGATTCACAGGATTAGGTCATATGATTCTTTCTTTTGTTGTTGTAACAAATGAAAAACATACAGCATGAACAATCTGATTTGTAATCTGATCCTGACTAATGACTGTTACCATTACTGTTGAAAGCTAGTTCCTTATTGGGTAAAACAATATGTGCTGCCAGTGTAGCTTGATACATTAAGGGAATTAACCTTTTGAGCCACCTCTGTTCAGCTAATCAAAAACATATACAGCAAACCGTGTAGCCTAATCCACATGATGAACGACACATGTGCTGTGAAGCAAATCAAAATGTATAGCTCAGCCTGCTTTTGGGGTCAAAAGGTGGAAAGACCTGAATGCTTTAATCCTTAAGCTTTTACATGTGAAATATCTATTCATGTGTTAAACTTTTTGTCAAAGAAGTCTCAGACTTTCAGACCTCAGTGATTCATGTTAAAAGTTAACACACATACGCACACCCACCCCTATGCATTCAACTTTTTTTTCAGACAATGTCAGAATGGCAAATTTCGTAATTGTTGTGATTGAAAATCTGAGTTATTCCACCAAAATCTGACTACCTAACTCTTCTGAAGTAAATAAAAAAGACAGTCCTAAAATTAATATGGACGTCTGAGAACACTTTCAGTACTTTATTGTTAAAGGGGTGGTCCACTACGATATCATATTTAAAACTTTAGTTGATGTGTAATGTAGCTGTTCGAACATAAACAACATCTCTGAATGTAAAATGCTCAATGAAAAGGGAGACATTGGCTTTTACAGAGTTGGCTTAGCCTTAAACCTTACATCCAGGCTAATGATGTCATAAAACCCTTCAGGATACGCACATACACCCTGCACAGCTAAGGGCGTGGCCAGAGGCGCTGTAATGTTTCTGGTGATGTGGAGCTGATCTGTGAATTATGTTAGCTGACCAATCAGAGCCTCTTGAGGGCGGGCTTTTCATAGGAACTAGGAAATATGACAGTGGTTTTTTTAATGTTAGCAGAGTAGCTGTATATAATCAAAGTAGGATATATGAAAAAATAATGTGATTTTATAGAAATTAAGCATGAGTACACATTGCTTTGCACCCCATAAAAACAACCAAGCCTTAAAAATACACTCTGGACCACCCGTTCAATTTAAACAAATGATCTAAATTAAACTAAATTTGTGATCAGAAGTTTAGATGATCAAACACATAATTATAAATCAAAAATTCAGAGAAATCTATCTATCCTGCTGGAAAAAAAAACAGCATATGCTGGTATGTTTTGATGCTGGTATGCTGACCAGCATTAGACCAGCACTGAGACCAGCAAAACAAGCATTGAAACCAGAAAGACCAGCATACCAGCATCAAAACATAGGGTATCTATCTATCTATCTATCTATCTATCTATCTATCTATCTATCTATCTATCTATCTATCTATCTATCTATCTATCTATCTATCTATCTATCTATCTATCTATCTATCTATCTATCTATCTATCTATCTATCTATCTATCCATCTATCCATCCATCCATCCATCCATCCATCCATCCAATGCACATTATTCTAAGATGTTTCTGTTTCAGTCCGTTTATAAGTGGTCATTTACTTTTGCCAAGTGACATACGAAAATGTGGCCAACACTTTACAGTTAGACTAAACATTTGACACATTTTTGTATCAGTGAATAGTTTGAAATGTTGTCTGTTTGAGTGTAAGGCACAGCCTCGGGCTAAGTGTTGTACACAGTAAATGTTGGTCATAGTGGGCTGTTCTAGCTGGCCTTAGGTTACAAAGTTCACATGTAGCTGACTGCAGCACGTTCAATTTGATGCTTCGTTTGGCGGACGTCCGCCGCATGTTTCCATTAAATAAGCTGAAATGCTGCTAAGCTATTATTTGCTAATCTCGCGCTGTGTTTACACTGAATGTATGACGTAAATGATTAATCGCCGATCAGCCGTTAATCCTAATTAGTGCTATGCTTTAGCAAAGAGCTTGCGGTATCAGCGATTATATGGTATTCTAGCATTAATCATCTTTATTTTCCTCAATATGGGAAAGAAGTATATCTGGAATAAAGGAAATCTGCCAAGATACTGTTTATATAGGCGTAATAGTGTTTTAGTCACACACAAATGCCTTTAAGTTTCTAAGTCATGTTCACAGATATTCTCATTGCTAAACATTACATTACATTACTCAATTGGCATGACAATGATGCAATTCTCTAAATCTGCATAATTTGCAGCATATGATGACATTTAATCATCTATTTATTGTCAATCATTGCATGTGAGTCTTTAAAGGGATAGTTCACCCAAAAATCCTTTACTCACCCTTGGCTTACATAGAAAAACAAACACTATAGATGTCAATGTTTCAATCTTCTCTTGTTTCAACAGAACAAATAAGCCGTCAGGCTGGGCTGTAACAAGTTAAAGGAGAGTAAATGATATTTTTAATTTTGGACTATCCGTTTACGATCCAGGCTCATTCTGAAAACGTAGTCCCGCGGATGTTTCTGGAGACTGTGAATTATGTAGCCGGAGGTACGTATGGCTGCATTTTATTTTTTAAGCGAACGCTATGGGGCGGTGTGACGCCGATCCTTTTCACGCTTGCTGGCTGACCACTTACTTCCGTGTGGTGGGCTTTCCCGCTTCAACTAGTTTGTCCGGTTAGCTCGTCGTGTACGTCGGTGGACTTGAGACGCAGAAAGGAGCTGACGATGATGACGACCGGGTTCGAGTCCAGGGAAGAGCGGTTTTCGAAATCAAGTAAGACAAAAACAGAATCAAAAAAATTAAGTGAACAAGTTCATGACAGGCTGAGAATGTGGTCAAATCCGAAAACGTGGTAAAAATAAGGGCTTTTCTTGTTCTGGACGGCTTATTTTTATTGAATTGTTGGTTGGGTTTAGGGAAGTAAGCGGACGGGCAGGGCAATCGGTATAACTGCTTGGGTTTGGAGAAGGAGGGTGGGTCGGCCGATTGACGGTCACCCAGTCAATCATTAAGCCAGTTGGATGCACGCCTGTTCGACAGCGGCCTACTGTGGGTTTACGCGAGAACGGCGCTCGAGAGAGACTTTTGAGACGTGAAAAAGCGTGCACAGCGGCCTCTCGCAGATTCTCAAAAAACAAAACTGCACAAATAGGTACCTCCCGGAATGTATTTTACAATCTCCAGAAACATCCGTTGGACTACGTTCTCAGAATGAGCCTGGGTTGTCTGTTTACCATGGTTTACACGGCAAGTATGCTGTACAGACTATTTTACCCAAATGAAAGATGTTGTATTTTTGTATATCGTCTTGACAGCTAAGCACATTTTCTCATGACTTTAATGGAGAATGCAATGGACAATGCAGTTTTATCATATGTTATTGTAATCTAGGAATGTAGAAACTTACAGTTGAGAAGAGCAGGAATTAAGAAAATGAATAAATAAATACAAATAAATCATCCCAGTGCATTACAATAATGAAAAGCTGTGGAAAACTGCCATAGTCTAAAACAGGGGTCACCAATCTCAGTCCTGGAGGGCCGGTGTCCCTGCAGGGTTTAGCTCCAACTTGCCTCAACACACCTGCCTGGATGTTTCAAGTATACCAAGTAAGACCTTGATTAGCTTGTTCAGGTGTGTTTGATTAGGGTTAAAGCTAAAATCTGCAGGACACCGGCCCTCCAGGAGCAAGTTTGGTGACCCCTGATCTAAAGTAAAAAAATATATATGTGTTAAAGGGCATTATGCAAAAAATGTTTTATTTTATTCTGTTGTATTCTGTGCATATGGAGTTTATAAGCTTTAATAAAAGAAGTTATTCAATTGCCTGTGTACATGATCTCTATTATGTCACAACGTGTGCAAGACATGAGTTCAAAAGCTAATGAACACTGTTATTCATCTCATTGAGCAACAGTTGATCAAAAAGTAAAATCAGGGCGGTGTTTGTTTTAAGTAGCCCAGCCCATCTTGCTCATGAAAGCAAACAAAATAATTCTTAACTATGTACAATACAGTGATTCAGTGTGCTTAAGGACATTGCTGTTATTCCAAAATGGTGGTCCAGTTACACAAGTTTATTTCTCAATAATATATCCAGTGTAAACTATTTTAGGGCTGGATTAATTGTGATTTTTCAAGCCAACCATTATATTGACATAGCCACAAAAATACAGACCTACTGTATTTTTGAAGTTCTTCCTAATATTGTTGAGGACACAAAGTTTAGACCCTCTTACATAATCATGTCTCATAT